TAATACATATACGTACATACATTACAGATCATTACAGTACATTACATTGCATTACATTGCATTACATTGCATTACATTTCATTACATTTCATTACATTTCATTACATTTCAATACATATTCATATATTGACATATTTACACATATACACATATAATTACACACTTATATATATATACACACCTACACCCATATATAAATATATATATATACAGATATATGTACACACCTATCCTTGATTGGTAGGCGCATTTTTGTTCTAATAATAAAGGAGGTCCACCGGCCCAAGAGTCACCTGCAGGGGGTCAACGACTTCCGCCAGCACTTCTCCTGAAATTGGAGGAGCCACTGCCATGGTATGCCGGTATGCCCGTGCTTGCGGAAAGCCTCAATGGGACCGCTCAGACTTGGCAACTGGTTTTCTCCACCGTTTCAGAATGATTGATTCACAAGATGATTTATGGGCCTTCAAGAATTACCCTGCATGAAAATAAAAATATTGTTTATTGTACATATTGTTTACTGTACATACTAATTATGTTTACTTATCGTGTTGCTTTGGCTCAAGGAACAAGCGCGCTAATTGTGTCTGTTTGTGGTTGAGACACCTGTAAAACAGGTTATCAGCCGTAAGCTAATTTCTTCCTTGTAGGAATGTCTGCCCCCTCGGGTTCTTCCACCGAGGGCACCGGGCGTGTAGATACCTCTGATGCAGCCATGGCTAACCCGGGGACATTACCTATCAGCAACTCACCTTTCTCATATGACATCAGCACCCCACCAAGCTCCGACAAATCCAGAAGCTTAAGGGATCGACGCCACCTTCCACATTTGAGTAACACAGTTGTGCCTTCTCATGTGGGATTCAGTCACCGTGGTTTTGTCCCCCAAGCCGCTCGGGAGGGTGGGCCACCGACTCGCCAATTGAACCAGATGAATGTCCATAATACGTTTCAACACAATGTTCATATTGACAATCCTCAAGTGAATTTTGTCGAGCAGAATTTGCACCTTCATGCACATGATCCTGCTATGACAAGCCTTGTGGAAACAACGGCCGAACTCCGTCATCGTGAATTATTGGCCCAGGCCGAAGCCCACGCTGAGGCCGTCCACACGGCAAAGACTGAGGAATTGGTGGAAGCATTGCGAGTCCGTGAGGGCATTGAAAGTCAGAGGGCCTTAGATGCAATGATGTCCAAAGAACAAGAAGTATTGAGAATGGGAGCACAGTATAGGGAGAACTTACAGCATGAGGCGCACGAACACGTAAGGTTCCGAGAAGCTCAAATGAATGAGAAAATTCAAGCCTACCAACGTGTCATTGATGCTAACCATCGACAATCACTATCAAGTAAGGAGCAAGAGATCCTTGAATTGAGAAGAGCAGCTGAGGAAGAGAGAAGGGTTCAGAATGAGCGCATTACACAGCTTGAACACATGGTACAAGCACAGATGCAACACAATCTGAAACTGCAAAGTATGCTCGATTCCCAATTTGCTCAGGTTCGTCCAAGTCCTATTGTCGAAACTGCCGCCATGACTATGACAGCCGGAACCCATGAATCAACGGAGATCCCAAATTTCGAATTTGTTCCACCGACCCGCAAGGCTGCACCCGCAGCACCTCCGACCAATGTAGCCCGACCTCCAATTGCAAGAACGCCGATCAACTTTACTTCACCTGATGCCAAGACTTATGAAAAGGATGGTATTGAAATCATTTATCATGACCCATCATATCGAGTCCCAGTTCAAGTGAAGAAGGAGTCGGATGTTGCAAGGTCTTCCGTTGAGGAACGCCCTTCGGGAGGAGAGGCCAATAATCGTCGCCGAGATAACCATCCCATGGATAGTGTCAATTCCCCTGCGCCGACCAATCAATATGCCCCGACCGAACTAGGCCCAGATGAGATGGAGTACTTCGAGCCGGGGGGCGATGATGCGCCTGATGGGGACGATCCAGGGGATGGAGGAGATGGCAACGGAGGGAACGGGGGAGGTGGACCACCATCACCACCTGATCCGATTGATAAACATGAAGGGGATAGGAACCGTAAGGCACCCAGAAAAGGTAAGGCTGGTCCCAATCCTCCTGACGGCGGTGACGACGGTGATGATGATCCCGATGATGATGATGATGAGAAGTTCAGGCGAAGGATGATCAAGTTTCTAGGTGGCTACATTGATCCAAGGCATGATGACAAACCCAAGGTCAAGGAAGCTGACACCATCAAGATCCCAGCATTCCCATTGGCAGAAACCTATCGCAATTGGAGAATTAAGACTAGAGAAGCAGTCGTAGCAGCATCGACCGATCCCGACAGTGCTTTCAAGTGGATTAGTGATTCTTGGAAAGAAGAACAGACCCTTGAAGCGCTCCGGAAGGTTGCGCCGTTTGCGACACTTGATGCAAAGTTACTTTCTGCACTCACCAATATCATCACTGGTGACTTCGCCCGCCAGGTAGATACCTTCAAGGAGACTGAAGCCACCGCTGGACGGATTGTAAGAGGGAGACAAGTGTTGTTCATGTTGCATGACCACTTTAGTACCAACATCAAGCACGGAGCAACCTATGCCCTTCAAGATTTGTTCAGTGTCCAATTGCGCGGGGAGAATTTGAAGTCTTTCATTTCAAACTGGGATCAAGTGTTGGCTGGTATCGTCCAGACTCCCGAAGTAAGTGTATTGGAGACACTCTTCTACAAACAAGTGAAGAATTGTAAGGCCATCCAACATGACATGAATGAGTATCATAGAGCTGATGAAGGAACCGAAAAACGGAACTACAGTTTTCTTGTTTCTGCCGTGCGACGCCACCTTGACCGTGAGAGGTTGGAGGCAAATCGTGATCGAGTTGCCAAAGGTCTTTCGGGTTCCGGTCGTCCCTCCGCTCCCGCAGTCGAGGGCAAGACAGGATTCATCCCAAAGGGGTATTGTGTGGCATGGAATAAGGGAGGCTGTAGCAAGGACAACTGTACTTACAAGCATGAAGTCCCCAAGCCACGTGATAGAAGTCGCAAACCCAGCAAAACCAGAGGTCGCTCAAATGAACGTTCTAGTACTCCCAGACCAAAGGGGAAAGGTAAGAAGATTTGCAAGTTTTGGAAACAGGGACGTTGCGATAGAGGAGCTGATTGCAAATTCCTTCATGAGGGTTCAGTGGGAAAGCCAAGACAAGCTACTCCTGCCCGTTCGGCCAGTAGCGAAAACAAAAATAAAAAGAGAAATCCCAAGAACCCGAAAAGGAAGGGATCCCGAAGCTCTAGCCGCTCTAAGAGCCCCAAGAGCCCGAAATCCCCGAAGTCTAAAGGATCCGGGGCCAGTTCATCTAAGCCGTCTCCTGCCGCAGTTTGTCTTGTTGCATCCATGCTTGCATCCGTGTCTCAGGCATTTTGTATCCCTCAACCAAGAGTATTTTGTCCATCGATTCGTTTTGATGATTCGCCGGACGTATCTCATGTTAAAGTCCGAGGGAACTTGAGGCCAATTGGAAACGCAGTCACCAAGGATAAGGTTACCTTTCCATGGGGACATCAGTTTGAGGTTGACCAACTTGCTGTGAATGATGCCGCTTTGACCGGTACCATGTTGGCAGGGTCTGTTTCCAATTGTCTTCGGGGAATAGAATGCAAATGTGCCTATTTATGTGACACAGATTTTGGTTGCAATGAATGTATCCCAAAGGGAATCAAAGCCACCCCTGCGGAATGTAGAGAAGACGTAAAGGGAGCGATCAACCTCGAACTTGACTGGATTGCGGATACGGGGAGTGCTCAAGATCTTGTCAATGATAGCGAATTGCCAGATGACTATGGATACTACTCCAACAATCCCATTCGCATGATTACTGCCAATGGTGAAAGTTCGTCATCGAAACAAGGGAAAGTATTTGTTCCAAAGTTAGGCAAGACCATTGACCCATATCTTGTTCGAAGCTCACCTCCTGTAATTTCAGTCGGGATGAGATGCATTGATGATGGTTACGACTTCATATGGAGAGGCTCCAAAGGTGAACCTCCTTACATGGTCAAACCAAATGGGGAACGCATTGAGTTAGTTGTCAGAGATTACGTACCCTACTTTGCAAACAATTCAAAGACGGTTTCCACTCCATCAACTCAGCTTAGACCAAGTATTGCCACCCCGGCATCAGATGAAGCTCAACAATCTCCGGAGCCCGATGGGGACATTGAAATCATTGGTGATGACCCCATGGGTATCAATGTTGATTTACCGGAGCCCCAGCCCTTGGAGGCTGAGGAGGTCGATGTTCCTGATGCCGACCGGGAGGTTGAGCCGCCTGTGGAAGGATCCAAGGGTAGCAGTAGTAACGTCCATGATGATGGTGCTCACAAAAGGTCACCTGGGGAAAAGGAATTGAAAGAAGAAGCTAAGTCCATTCGACATATGCTGACTCACATCCCTAAGAACCCCTTTTGCGACATATGTACCAGAGCTAAGATGTTCAAGCCACCCTCAAGAGCTGTAGGCGGATCAACCAAAGTTAAAGCTGAGAAATTTGGTGACCACATCACTGCTGATTTTATTGTCACCAGAGATGAAGATGAGTTGTGAATCGATGAAGAGAAAAGTGCACTCGTAGTGAAGGACATAGCAACAGGATTTATGTATGTCTACCACAATGCCAGACGAACCACCAATGCTGCTATCTTGGCAATTAAACATTTTGTTGGACATGAAGATAAGATAGGAGTTTTCTACAGTGACAATGCACCCGAGTTAATCTCAGCAATGAAGATCCTTCAGTGCCGTCATGTCTTAAGTAGGGACTACATATCCAAGTCCAACGCCCAAGCCGAGAGAGCGGTTCGGTCAGTCCTTGAAGGCACTCGTGTCAATCTGCTCCAGGCAGGTTTGA